AAAAATGTTTTGCGCTGCCGGCTTTGTTTAAAGTGTTTTTTTTTTTTTTTTTTTTTTTTTTGAGACAGGGTCTTGCTATATAATCGAGGCTGGCCTTGAACTCACTATGTAGCCAAGGCTGGCCTCGAACTTGTGGCGATCCTCCTGCCTCGGCCAACTAGTGCTGGGATCACAGGCATGCGCCACCACGCCCGGCTGAAAGTGGTACTGATTAGCCTTAAGAAGAACTGTTGGAGGTGATCGTGGGTATTAGCTGGCAGGGTGCTCCGTGTGGCAGAAGGACACAGTAGGGGGGTCACTCCAAGTTCTCCTTTGTCTCTTTTTGAGAGAGTCCCAACAGCTCTGTGGATTTCCAGCTCACAGTTCAAACTCTCCTTCTTCTTCTTGTGGAAATCGGCAACTACAAGCATCTTCCATCTGGGCAGTTTGTACTGGTTTCACAAACGCTAGAAGATAATTTAAAAGATACTTAGATTTTGTTGCCCATGTTAAATAGGGAACATCGACATTTTGTCACCCTCACTTGCAGAGAATCTGTGAGTGACAAACATTCTTGACTTTAATTAAACTTATCCACAGCAAAGGTTAAAAACATGCATGAACTTTTTCCAAGGACTGAGATTTTTATCCTCCTACCAAGTATTTCATTGGTCATTGAAAACTTATTTTCTTTATTTTCTACAGTGACTATAAAAATATCAAAGAAGAGTTACTACAGCGTAACATATCAGCCATATCCCAAACATAGCAGTAGTTTCAGTTCATTAGCGTATATTTTAGTCTCCAGGTTACTTGATTAGAGATTGGACAGCTTCTTTTAAAAATTCTGCCGTGCCCAATTTAAAGATATTCCCACTATTTCCATCTGTCCATTAGCAAAGAACTGATTTATGTGACCACTTCCTGGTTTTCTTTGACATGTTAATGTGAAGCTGAGCAACTTTCAGGCCTAAGCAGACTCTTCTTCATAACTTGACAAAGGTAAAAGGCCCGATCCAAATTCCACAGCCTTGTTATGACAAACCACAACATAACCAAACAATCTCACTAACTCTGAGAACTTAGGACAAGCAGTCGAGATTTTCAGAACTATCAGTGGGACATCTTTTGCAATTGTACCAAAGGTTAACTGAAAAGCAGAGACCTGCTTCAGGAGTGGGAGATGTCATTCCCACATTCCTCTGGCACATTCTTGCTGCTGAGGACTGCTGAAAACTGTGGACTTTACATATGAAACAAACAATAAAAATCTCTGGAAGGTAAGAGGAGAACGGAGACCAGCTAAAGAACCCCAGGGTGGGTCGGGGATTTAGCTCAGTGGTGCCGCCACCTGCCCTGCAAGGGCAAGGTTCTGAGCTCTATCCCCAGTACCAAAAAAAAAGAACTTCAGGGTCCAAGGAATAACACGGCTATGCATTCTCTGAGTTTTCTTTCTGCTGTGGAGAAGCTGACAGCCTAGAAATGCCAGTGTGTACAGAACAAGAACAAACTGAGCCAAGCCTGCTCTCTCCAGCCACAAGACCAGGAAATGAGCCTCCCAGCAAGACTTAACAGGTCTAGTAGGCTGGATGTCCACCCCACCTTGCTGTCACAAGGTGTCTCCTCCATCCTCCACTGGCATGGAGTCAGGGGAAGCCTGATGACATAGAAGACTTAAATTAGATCCAGAATCTCATAACTTTAGACCCAAAATGTCTGGGTTTCAATAAGAAGAAATCGCTTTTACTAAAACCAAGAAGATCTCAATTTGAGAAGGAAAAAAGTAAGACAACAGAAGCCTGTGCCCAAAGGCACACATGTTAGGTTGAGCAGCCATCATAAAAATGCTGCAACAAGTAACGGGGAACATATCTGAAACAAATAAGGACGTAAAAGATACAGGAGCCGGATGTGGCAGGAGCTGGATGTGGTAGCTGAGGGTTCTAACCAACTCCTTGAGAGGCTGAGGTGGAAGGATTTGTTAAACCCAGGAGTTCAAGACCAGTCTGGGTGCCGGGGACTTAGCTCACTGGTTCCGCTGCCTGCCTCACCAGTTCAAGGACCTGAGTTCAAACCCTGGTACAAAAACAGAAAACATAGTGAGACCTTGACTCCAAAACACAAGTAAACAAACAGAAAACTAACAAGAGCAAAATAAGCTATTGAAGTACAGTAACTCGGAATGCTGTACACAAGTGCTGTCCTGTGTAATGAGCCAAACTCAAAAGGTTACGCACTGCGTGATTCCGCTTACAGAACACCCCTAAAACAACAACACAGAGACAGAAAACAGCTTAGTGTTAAGGACTATAGAAGGATGACTGAGTGTTGCGGCTGATCTTTGAGGTGGTGGCTGATTCTGAGTTTTGACTATGCGGGTAGTGGCAGGAATCCATGTGTGACAGAATGACACACATCGATGCACACGCAATTTGCACAGGTGTGACGCGGTACTGTAAGGTAGAATCCCACGAGTGGCTCGTGACACTTTTCTGTGCTCTGTCTTTTCCTGTGAACCCATAATTGCTGGAAAATAAAAGTTTTCAAATGACCTACGAAGTTCTTAGGAAATGCATTTTAATTCCACGGCAATGCACTGATTGCTCATAAATACTTGAAGATCGTCTTAAGGGTGTCAGCTTGGCTCTGGGAGTCTGCTGTTAGGGGGCTCACTGGAGGTTTACGTGAGAGAGATGGCTTTTGAGGGGAGAATTGGAACAGCAAACTGCAGAGTAGGAAAAAGCACTTGCAGCACTCTGAAGAGCTCCTGTAAGTCAAGGAGGAGAGGACTGATGCCCCGTGGGAGGACACTCAGAGGGAACCAGGGCCTCACAAAACAGGAAATTCAGGCAGCTGAGCAGATGTGAAATAGCGTCTAACCTGACTGGAGATCAGAAAACACAAATGAAAACCACAACAAACTACTACCCTCGCCCCAAGAGATAAAAATAGTCTGGTGACAGCCAGTGTGAACGAGGGTGTGGAGCAAAAGGAACCCTATATCACTGGAGAGGTGGCGGGGGTCCGGCCCCTAGTTTAGTCTATCTGCTGAGGGCCAAATCCACCTTCCTCATATCCCAACAGTTTTATTCCTAGCCCAAAACAACAACAACACAAAAACACATGCTTACACGGACTGAGTTATATGGACAAAAATATTTACAGGCGTGGTGGTGCACACCTGTAACGCCAGCACTCTGAAGGCTGGAGCAGGAGAATCGCAAGTTGGAGACCGGCCTGGGTGACTTAGTGACTCAGCAATACCCTGTCTCAAATTTTAAAAATAAGAAAAGAGCTGAGGATGTATCTCAGTGTGAAGGCCCAGGGTTCAGTCTTCCACTATCTCAAATCCCCCACCACTGTCTCTTGTGGGTCCGCTGCAGACAGCCCCACGCCCACCGAGGTCCGGGTGGATAAACAATGACACAGTCGTTCCAGAGGAACAGCGGCCGGGCTACATCCACCAAAGATGAACTCAACGTCTTAAAGATACACTGCAGAGGGTGGGTAGCAGGCAAAATCCAGATAGTGGGCTCCTCCTACCTGCTGAAGTTCCCGAGCAGCTGGTGTTGTCAAAACTGAGCTGTTACGTAGCAAAACTACACCAAAGAGCAAGGAAGTGGGTGCTATAAAAATCTCAATGTGGTTAGCTGCTGCGGCAGGGAGGGCTGTGCCCTGAGAGAGTTCACGGCGGGTTTTGGGCACGTTTAGCCTGTTATGTTCTTGACTTAGGTAGAGTTTCTTTTACAATTGGTTAAGCTGTGCATGCCTGTGTGCGTTCCTCTGAAGATTTCACAACATAAAGGGGTCTTGTATGGTTTCAAAAGGAACCTTTCAATAAATTATCGTAGTGCGTGTTCAGATTAAGAACTTACTGATGTTTTTCCTCACACTCTGAACAACTCCCAAACAGACACTCTCTAGTCTTCGGGTGTTTGGGGTGACAGGGTTACATTTTTGCCCTCTGAATGTCCTTCCTATATGTGTGTCCTGCTTGCTGGGTTTATCCTGTTATCACTCATCCTGTCCTCCAGGAAGACAAAAATCAAAAACAGGTTGCCCCTGTGTATAAATTACAAACTTGAGCTAAACACTAACTGCCTCGGTTAGAGGGTACTGACTCCGCCAGACACTGTATGTGAAGAAATCGTATCTTGTTTAATGAACTCAGGAGTGAAACTGATGACTGAAATTTTCTCTTTAATCTAGATTGGGGTTATAATAATCTACTTCATTAAACCCACTTTAAATTCTCTCTTCATACTCCATGCCTAGGGGATTAGTGAAGCTCACTCCTGGGTGTGTCTGGGTGGCCATGGAGGTGAGGCCTTGGGAGTTACGTCTGGTCCCTAGCCTGCTCCTCTCTGGTGCTGCCCTCTTCTCTGCTTCCTGACCCATGAACTGAGCATCCTTGTCCCACCGGGCCACCCACCATGCTGCTCCCGCCTCGGAACCAGCAGATTATGGACCAAATCTCCTGAAACCATCAGCTAAACCCAACCTCTCCTCTTTAAGTTTGGGGTGTTGGGCATTGTGTCCCAGGAATGGGAAAGCTGACAAATACACTGCTGTAAAAGTCCTGTCCTGTGTGCTCACGTCTAACACTGCGGTGTCGGTCTTACGTCGTTTGAACATGTACACGAACTCCTTCCCGCTCCATCTGACAACACGGTGCTGGCACAGGCAGAGGATCAGCAGGAGCAAGGCCATGGCCGACGTCAGCACCAGCAGCATGGGGAAGAACCACGGGGAGGGCCCTGCACAGAGGACGAGGGGAGACGTGGGGAGGAAGATGTTTATCTGGTGATGTTTGAGCTTCTACTCACGGTGCCCCTGCTAAGCTCGGGACTGACCTGCTAACAGTATAACTTACATGACTCTAGAAAAGTAAGTAATTTCCCTGAAGGCTCCCCCCAAAATAAGCAGCTTAGGCCTTTCTGGCACACAGAACACATGGGGGTCTCATAACCCCCCTTTCTTTAGCATTCACAATGCTGCAGTGTCTGTCAGGACAGCGTTGCCTGAACCGCCTCAGCGTTGCCTCAGGCCGAACAGCGAACTCCAGAGGAAACACAGGTCCTTGAAGACAGCAGACGCTGAGGAAGGCTCGGGGAAGGCGCTGCTGCCCTCGAGGAGGATGCGGGATGTGGTGACCGGAAGGTCCCACACCGGCGGGCAGCCCGGGACACCGGCTCTGTGAGGCCAGCAGCAAAGCCAGGCCCGGCTCTCTCCCAGCAGGGCAGGGGGCAGGGGCCGTACCTGGAGAGAAGTCGGCTGGAACTGGTCCGCAGACCACGTCCCTCTCCTTTGTCCCATTCACAAGTACAGTCTTTCCATCCAAAGAGCACCTCAGAAAGCACAAGGGGAAACGGGCAAGTAATTAACTGAGGTACAGAGGATTCCCAGGAAATCTTCAACATCTGTCAGCCAATGAAGCAGCCTAGTGACAAGACAGGTGGCCTCACGGGGAAAGCGGCACGGGTCACGGCTCCCTCCACCTGCCCGGCCAACTCTCCTCTTCCCAGGGGGCTGGGGAGCTATGGGGGTTCCTCTGACCACAGGTGCAGGAACAGACCATTAGGCCTCCCTCCCCCTGCGCCCCCCATCCCTGGCACACTAAGCAAGTGGAACTGGGTTAGGAGTCCAGCCTGGGCCTCTGACTGCAGGGCAGGGCACGACCCAGAGCCATGCTGGGTGGGTCACACACCCTGCCTCGGCCTCAGGTCTCATCGGTGGAGTGGGGACTGGTGCACTCGCAGGGCTGGGAGGCAAAGTGGCTGGGTGTGTCCCAAGACACACTTTTTCGTGCCCAGCACACTCAGCACACCGCGGCCATCATTGCTGAGGCACCTTCTCCCTTCCCCTTAACCCAGCCAAAATCCACCACCCTCCAGAGGCCAGTGCAGACCAGTCCTCCACACAGGTGAAATTGAACACTCTCGTCAATTTGTGTGGAGGGACCTTTAAAAATGGGGGGGTGAGGCTAGGGCGCAACTGAGTGGTAGAGAAC